GTCCTTCCTTTGCGTGAGAGTGTCTCTTTGGTGTGCGACAAGATCCGAGGCTACCGTGTCGAGCTGCGGAATGAGAGTGGTGAGGTCGATGTCTGGCGCATTGTTAGCCTCGTCGTATAATATGCGTCACAGGCATTCGCACTTCGCCATGCGCCAATCGCCTTTTGGAACTTGTTGCCCTCTTCCTGTTCTTCCTCTGCGACTGGCTCCTGCCTCTCGGCATTTGGTGGAGTGTCGACCCGCTCATCCATGTCTACTCCGCCCTCCATGGTTGCGCTTCAGTGTGTATCGGTGTCTGCGAGTGCGAGAGACGTGTAATTGAGATCCGAGAGTACTGCGATGTCTCGCGCCCTTGTCGTAATCTGCTCCCAGAAGCCTTTACGGCGCGTTGTGAATCATGGAATGGAGTTGGTTACGTATGCACCCAGCTTGCCGTGAAACCGCGGAAGGTGCGGCGTTGGGCGGCCCTAATTGGTGGACGGCCGCCATGATAGCTCACCAGGCACCACGAGCGCACATCCAACACGCACCATGCGCGCCTCTTACACTTCGCTGCCATAGCCTACCATGGCGCATGTGAAGGTTGAGAACAATGGCAGACGCACCTTCCCAACCGCCCGCGACACGGCGCCCGCCCCCGCAAGATGGTCCCTACATCCTCCGCAAGCTCGTCGCAAACCTCCCGCTGTCCGCTGATGGCCCGTCGACCGACGTGCGCATCACGTGTGTAGAGGTGTGGAACGGCAACCTCTATGTTGGCACCTCCGCCGCCGAAATCATCCACTTCGTCCTGCTTCCGCCCGAGACCGACGATCCCTCCGAAGAGCCCACGGCCATCATCGCCTCGCGACTAGAACCGCCCCATAACGACGGCAATGGGCCCGGTGTGCAGCAGATTCTCCTGCTCCCCAAGATCAGCAAGGCCTGTGTGCTGTGCAACAATACCCTCTCCATATACTCGCTACCCGAGCTGAGCCCAGACTCGACCTTCAAGCCGATAGGATGTCTGTGGGTTGGAGGTGTCGACTTGAACGACGACGCTGAAGGTCCGGCTGAGGATGGCGTGGTAGTCGTCATCGGCCTTAAGAAACGCCTGCGACTGGTGCAGATATCCGAGAACTCACCCCCGAAAGCGATCAAGGCGATTGAATACGGAGGCTGTCTGGTCTCGGTCCGCCGAGACACGTTCTCATGCGCTGCTGATGCGCATTCGTATGCCCTACTGGACGTCGTACACCAGCAGAAGATAGGCCTATTCCCAATCTCTTCCTTGGACCCAGACGCCGGCGACATTGGCGGAGCCGCTGAACACCTGGCGACTGTACCAAATGCACCTTCTAGGAGCGTTTCCTCCGCTTCGCATCCACAAGCTCCCGAGGAGCACCGCGGCCATTCTCGAAGTACAAGTTTGAACGTGCTTGGGCTGGGCGGTCCTTCACGAACAGCAAGCCCACGGGCTCCGGCGCAACGCTATGGTTTCGACGTGCCACAATCACTCTCGCGCGACATGTCACCGGCTCCTTCACGCTCGCCTGGCCGAGCCGCCATGGGAGGAGAAGGCGAAAGAGCGTCTAGCCAGTCTCGAGGCGGCGCAACTTCACCCGATAAACCTTTACCACCAGCTCCAACCGAAGAAGAGGGACCACAGCCCGAAGAGCCACTGCTACCACGACCGTCGCCCTTCATTCCTTTGAGACCCCACGTCGCATCACCAAACCCGAACGAGTTTCTGTTGACGGTCGGCACTACACCTTCTGACCAAGGAGTCGGCATGTTCGTAAACCTCGATGGAGATATGTGCAGAGGTAGCATACAATTCAGTAGCTATCCTGATGCGATTGCTGTAGACGGCGCGGGCATTGACTTCTCGGCCTCTATGGGTCAGGGCATGAACTCTGAGGAAGGTTACGTCTTGGCCGTTGTACATCGAGAGGCGGAAGGTAGTATGACCTACGGTGTTGAGATTCAGCGATGGGATGTGGATCCCAGCGCTGGAGAAGTTGACAAGCACTGGCTCAATTTCAGCCCGCTCGGCCTGCCAGTGCAGACCAAAGGCTCACATATCTCGACGCCTATAGGTATGCGCACTGTAGTGCAGCCTTACGATCTAGTGATTCCTGAAGTAGGCGCGAAACTGACCGTCCGGAAATTGCAGCTTGCTTCATCTGAGGGAACAGCGAGAGAGTCCAACGAAGTTAAGAAGCGCCAAACAAATGCGGACCGCGAGTTTGCGGAGCGCCTGTCCAAATTGCAGTCACAGACTGTCGTCTGGGCCGGAGACCAAATATGGTGGACAGTACGAAACCCTCTAGTGACCCGATTAGATTCACGAATCGAAGCGGCCCAGTATGCGCTCATTGGAGATGCGACACGCATCCAGCCTGACAGAAGAGTCATAGAAACCATCCTAGGCGATATCCGCGGACAAGAGCCGCGCAACGAGTCTGAATACCTTAGTCTCATATACATTCGTCAAAAGGCCTCGCTTATGCTCTTCATGGACGTAGTCCTACGTACCAAAACGAACATCATCATATTCGAAAATGAGAAGCGTATCACCGAACAAGCACTCATTGAAGGTGAAATAGACCCGCGAGTTGTCTTGAGCCTGATGCCGATTCTCAACCAAGAAGTGGTACAAGGCTCGGACGGCATACAGATCTATGGCGGCATCACAACGCTGGTAGAGCACTTCTTGCAACAGAACGATCTCTCCACCATGCCAACGAACATCAATGGTCCCTTTGGTGACAATCTGTTGCATTTCGTAAAGCGGTACCTTCAATTCTGGAAGAAGCGGAAAGGGATGGCAAGTGTAACAAACGACCCAACCGTGTTCAAGACCGTCGATGCAGCATTGCTTCACATCCTCCTACTGCTAGATCAAGAGAGTCCAAAGGGTACTTCCAGCCCTGGTGCTCACCGAGCAGAACTCTACGAACTGGTGGACAAAGAAGTAGAGTGCTTCGACCGTGCTGTTGAGTTATTGGAACAATTCAAGCGTCTCTTCCTGCTCAGTCGCTTATACCAAGGCAACTGCAAAGCTTCCGTCAAGGCGTCGCATGTGCTAGCGACCTGGAAACGGATCTTGGAAGGCGAGGAAGACAAGGGAGGCGAACTTGTAGATGGCGAGCATAAGGTGCGCGACTATCTACGAAAGATTCGCGATCAGGCTCTGGTAGAAGAGTATGGCGCATGGCTTGCGAATAGGAATCCAACGCTGGGTGTTCAAGTCTTTGCGGACGATCAGAGTAGAGTCAGGTTTGATCCTACTCGAGCTGTCGCTCTACTAAGAGACAAGGCGCCAGGCGCTGTCAAAGAGTACCTAGAATATCTTGTCTTCGGCCAGAGAAAGGTATGCCCCTCAGCACATATTTACTCGCTTTACTAACACCATCCCCAGCACCCCGAGTACGTAAACGAACTCATAGCATTCTACCTCTCCACCGTAATCACCGAGCTCGAAAGCACCCCCTCATCCCGCGCCACTCTCTCTCAAAGCTACGAAACCTACCGCATCCTCGAACCCCCCAAACCAACCTACTTCTCCTTCATAACCGACAACGCGCTCGATGCAGAATGGTGGCACGCCCGCATCCGCCTCCTCCAGCTCCTCAGCGAAACCTCGTCCTACGACGTTCACACCGTCCTCTCCCGTCTACAACCCTACAGCCAAGAACTAGTCTCCGAAATGATCATCCTAAACGGGCGCCAGGAGCGGCACGAAGAAGCGCTGAAATTGCTTACGCACGGGTTAGGCGATTACAACACAGCAATCAGCTACTGCCTGTACGGCTACGCCTCTATCCACCGCCGCGCCACCCCTGGCGCACCACCCGTGTCACACAGCCAGATCCCCACACGGTCAGAACAATCACGCATGTTTGGCCATCTCCTCAGAGAATTTCTCCAAATAGAAGATCTGTCGCAGAGAGTGGAGCGCACCTCTGAACTCCTCGAGCGGTTTGGCGGGTGGCTTGATGTCGCTGATGTGTTGGCGATTGTGCCTGATGAGTGGAGTGTAGATGTTTTTAGCGGGTTTTTGATACAGGCGTTGAGGAAGTTGGTGAGGGATAAGGCGGAGAGTGATGTTGTGAGGGCGCTTAGTGATGCGCAGAATAGTCAGGCTAGTTGTGAGTTGGTGGAGAAGAGGGAGGAGGGTGGGGCGCGGTTTGAGAGGGTGGAGGGGGGGTTGGGGGTACGGGGTGGTGGGGAGTAGGGTAGAGTGTGTAGCTGTGCACACACAGCAAGGGTAGGGAGTTTGGAAATACACTCGTATTGCGATTCCATTTTTGGGATCTGAATGGAGCTGGCTGGTAACAGTCACCTTTAGGGTGTTTCGACGCGTCTCCGTCTATGTGTGGGTCTATAATCAATCTTCATCGCATCCTATTTCAGTACTCATGTCGTACTGTTCAACGGAGATGAGAAGGCGTCTTAGGTTCAAAATGGGGCCTGGCCTTGTTTCGGGTTGGCCATTCGAATTGTGCATTGATGCAGGATATGGATTGTGATTATCACTTGCCATCGCCTTCGCCGTTGTATGACGATAGTTCTTAGGCATCGTTTGTGTGGTTAGGATGAAGGAATAGAGTGCGCCTTTGACTCAGACTGCGGTCCGGTCCTAGGTTGGGCTTGGTCTTTGAGATTGTACTTTGGTATACGGTATGATTGCGATTTGTGTAGCTAGGATCATAGCTGTGATAGCTTTGGAGTACGTCATGCCCGCATTGTTGGTATTAACGCGGTCATTTTAACGCTATATAGCGCACTTGGGTAACTTGATAGGTCTCCAGGAGTGAGCGTGGTGATTGATGGTTTCGGAAATCCAGTCAACACCGGCTCGCGCCTGCCTCGCGACGGTCTTGGCATTCTCACACCCGGAGGGACGAGCAACGCCGGAGCATAGCCACCAACGTCTCTCACTTCTCTTGCTCATCTAACGCAACTTCAATTCGATCTCACCACCCATATATCACTCGGCAACCCTTAGTGACACGATGCAGCGCCGTATGGTGAGTACCATCAATTTTTGCATCGTGTTCCGCGTTTTGACGCTAACGGTGGCAGCTCACGAAAGATGAAGAGGCCTCAGCGCAGAGTGAGGATCTAGAAGTGCGCCGCGAGGATCAAGAGAAGATCAACAAATTCAGTTCTCTGCATCAGAAAGAAGAGCTTCTCGAAGAGGAGCTGAGGGCAAAAATCGTACGATTCAACCCACTGCCTCCGATCTGCACCCGGTCTAACAACAGCGCAGAAGGAGAAGGAAGATTTGGAGGAGATCTCAGGCGAACTCGAGCTGGTTGATGAGGAGGAGAAAGTACCGTAAGTCATCTGCGATGAGCTGCAAATCGGCTTTTCATCTTAGTATAACCAGAGTATCGACAAGCTAATCACCACCCACAGATACAAAGTCGGCGATTGCTTCGTCTCATTACCCCAACCGCAGGTCCTCGAGCTTTTGGGTTCATCAACAGAGACCATTGACAGCGAGGTAGAAGCTCTCAAGGCCAAGCTAGAAGGTATCCAAGAAGAGATGGGAGAGCTGAAGAAGGCACTCTATGGCCGCTTTGGCCGCAGCATCAACCTCGAGACGTAGGCGATGCATATGCTGTAGACTTGCAGCGATGGTTCGCCGACGGAGATACATGCAACAAGAATCGAGATGCAACACACGTCCCAGTCTGAAATCGCATTCCGAGATGGATCGAATTCCGAATCGGCGTTCCATAATTCCTAACGCATACCGTCGGACTTTACTAATCCGCAGACCGAAGACATGGTAATCTGAGTCAAACGCGCATTCCCTTCCTCGCAAAACGAAAGAAGATAACGAACGTGACTCATTACAGGTCAATTATCAAACAATGCACCGAGTTCCACTTGGAGAGCCGCGCATCGGTAAGTTTGCCGATGCATAATAACGTCTTGTTCCCCGTCGGGCCTCGTAGGGCGCACGCAGCTAAACGGTACCCGTCATGCATTCGTAAGTTAAGCCCCGCCTACTCTGCATGCGGTAACGGCTACGATCGACAAACCAGGTAGACGTGCAGCCACGAAAATTATTGATCAGGGGAATTGTGGCGCCTACTTAAACACCTCGGATGCTAATCCACAAGTGCGCGGGGTCGCGCAGTATACTACCTAAGTTCTAGTCTATTATCACCCGTTCCCATTCTCTAACTGCATTCGCAAAAGCCATCCGTTCTGTCTTTTTGAGTCCTGAATTGCTCAAGAGCAATTTGCGTCATTCCTCCGAGTAACTAATTCAGCATGGAGAGTGCAGATCTGGAACGAACTTATTCCCGAGAACAACAAGGCTTAGGGCCGGGCCATGAAGCCATTACCTCACCAGTCGCTCTTGTCCGCAGTTTTACTTCAAAGAGTCAGAGGAGCACGACGAGTCGACAGAGTTCAAGGAATCGTTGTACGCATCACTTCGTCTTACTGTGATATTGGGGTTGTGATTTACTAACGGGTCAACATAGCCGGTGCTATAGAAAGCTCACGTGCTGCGCGACTGAGGGAACTTGAGAAAGATGTTGGCACATCTGACGATACAGAGAAAGAGGATGCGATTGAGAAAGTTGCGTCGAGGACACCTTCAACGTTGAGTTCGCATGGACGATCGAATTCGCCGTCGCTGGCGTCGAGTGTTCACGATGGACATGCCAGTGGGAGACGTGTTATCCGCTTTGAAGATGGAGATCCTGAGAATCCTAATAACTGGGGTCGCGTGAGTTGAACAATGGAGAAGTGAGCCCAGGAAGGACTAACAAGTATTCCAGTGGAAGAAGATCTACGCCCTCGTCGTTGCTATAATGAGTGGTAAGCCACCCTAATGCCCTCTGACAACGACACAGCTAAATAATCAAAAGTCATGAACAGCACCATGACCTCCAGTCTAGCAGCCGGAGCCACAGCCCCAATATCCCGCCATTTCAACCAAACCAACGAGTACGTGCTCATCCTTCCTACATCCATGTACCTAGTCGGCTACGCATGCGGTCCCATGCTCTGGGGCCCTCTCTCAGAATCCTACGGCCGCAAAGGAACCATGGTAATCTCGTTTGCCTTTTTCACAATCTTCTCTATCGCTTCGGCCCTCTCGCCGAACTTCGCTTCGCTCGTCATCTTCAGGTTGTTGGTGGGCGTGGGAGGGAGTTGCGCGATTAGTGTTGTCGGCGGGATATGTGCGGATATCTATCACAACCCTAAGTATCGGGGGAGGAGTATGGCGATTTTCATGGTATGTGGCTCCTTTCCCCTTCCTCCTAATGGCCTCTAGCAGAAGGAAGGAAACCTAATCAGAGTATAACAGGCAGCAACAACATTCGGACCCATCCTCGGACCCCCAATATCAGGCTTCATCAGCGTAATATCCTGGAGCTGGGCCTTTTGGATCGGAGTCATACTTGCCGGAGCAACATGGCCGCTGTTCTACTTCTTCGACGAAACATACGGTCCCACGATCCTAAAGCGGCGAGCAAAGCGACTACGCAAGGAAACGGGTAATGAGAATATCATTGCGCCACTTGAACTGGAGAAGACGGATTTGAATCACATTGTCACCGTCATTCTGACCCGGCCACTACGTATGATCTGCTTCGAACCTCTCGTTCTATTCACATGTCTATATCTCAGCTACGCCTGTAAGTCAACCCTCCCCCACTATCCCTGCACAAAGCCATCTCCTTACTAACCCCCACCCCCAAAGATGCCATATTCTACATATTCCTACAATCCTACCCCATAATCTTCACCGGCATCTACCACTTCAACGCCGGCGAAACAGGCCTAGCCTTCCTTCCCATCGGCGTCGGCGCCCTCATCTCCGCTGGCATCTACCTGTCGTGGGACTGGTACTTGGCCCGCGCCCAACGCCTCAGCCGCCCTTGGTCGCGCAACGAAGAGATGCGGAGGCTGCCCCTTGCTTGCATCGCCGGCCCGTTTTTCGTTATCAGCGCGTTCTGGCTGGGTTGGACGAGTAGAGAGAGTATCCATTGGATTGTGCCCACGCTCGCGGGTATACTGTTCGGAATGGGGTATCTGTGCCTTTTCATGGCTTTACTCAACTATCTAGTCGACGCATACGAAGTCTTCGCTGCGAGTGCGATGGCAGCAGCGAGTTTATCGCGTAGTTCGTTTGGGGCTGTGTTGCCTTTTGCTGCGAAACCGATGTATAGGACTATGGGCGTGGCTTGGGCGACAAGCTTGCTGGGATTCTTCAGTCTGGCGCTGTGTGTTGTGCCGTTTGTGTTTGTGCGGTGGGGTGGTAGAATGAGGGATCGGAGCCAGTTTTGTCAGTATTTGAGGAGGAAGAAGAGGGAGGAGGAGGAGGAAGCGGAGAAGGAGAGGAAAGGGTTGAGGGAGAAGAGAGTTATGGTACAGCCTAATGAGTTTAAGGGGAAGGAGGATGTGTAGGATTAGGTTTTGGGTCCAATGGCGATACGGTAGAGATCGGTAATGCTAATCTCAAAGATCATCCAACATATACCCCCTCCTCTTCTCAGGCTGAGCCTTGATAACCCAGCTATGCAGCACAATCTCATGCCACTGCACCCTCTCCGCATTCTGCATACGAAACACCGGCTCCCTCTCAACCACGAATTCTTTGCCTTTCCTAGGTCCAACGCGCGGCAGAAAGAAGCGAAAAGAGACCCAATACAAAATACAGCACGTCAGCATTATCCACGACAACAAACCCGTCGCGTACCAAGGAAGCCCAGGAATGATGTCGTGAACGTCAAGGTCTGAGTATTGAAACGGCGGTATCCAGACTGCGACTAAGGGGAAGCCGCCCGCGATAGCGTAGATCAGAGCAGCGGTGACACTCAGCCAGGTTGGGAGAGGCGATTTGAGAGACCACTCCGTGAAGAAGCGAAGATACAACATGCCGACTGCCATGATGAACGTGGGGATGATGTCGACGAGGTACACGTACAGGTTTGCGAGGATCCTGTACGCAGACGAGGGTTTCATGGGCCATGTTACCAGTATGAGAAACACGGCGCATACCCAGTGGAGGAAGAGCGCGCCTAGGGGTGTTGGCTCTGACTGGCTGGAATGGTGTTTCTCTCGGTATTTGCGAAAGAGAATGCGGTTCTCGCCGAAGAACTTGGCGAATGGTAGGACGCCTTCTTTCGCTATTTCTTGTTTTGCGCGGGCAAGTGTGAATGTCATGCCGATGACGTTGCCGAAGCTGTTGATGGTCGTGAAGATGGCGAGGATTGCGGAAGCGTGATTGTGGCCGATGACGTTGTTGAGGAAAGCGAGGGCTACGTCGGTAGATGTAAGTTGTTGCTCTTCGCTGACTACAATCATCTGAGTGCGTCAGCGCAGATCTGGGAACTGACTATGTGGCTACCTACGTAGCTGACATTGACGAGCATGTATAAGATGCAGATCATCCCGAGAGCAATGATGATGCCTTTGGGAAAGTTCTTGCGTGGTCTGTGGATCTCGCAGAGTATCTGAGTATGCGTAAGTGTAGGTCGATAGATCGTCAGACTGATTAAGACTTACATAGTTGGCTTGGTTGTACCCCCCATAGGCGTAAAAGACCGCTAGCATGCCTTGCGTATAGCTGTCGGCGTTTCCGTGCGTCCGCGCAAACGAGTTCTTGTATCCCATATTGGATGTTGCGTGATTCGTATGCGCGACACCGGCCAATACACATATCGCCATGATGGGGAACACACAAAGAATGGCGATCTTAACAACGACGATGACGTTGTTGAGAAGGATACCCCCACGTCGAGTGAACGCGTGCAAGAAGCATGGAAGCGTTACTGCCATTATCGCGAGACATCGTGCCGCGGCATCCTTGGCTGCACCTCTATCGGTACCTGGAGAGCCTATTATGTCGTCGCCGAAAGTCAATGCGTTGGCTGCGCTCGAAGCAATGATCACGTAGTTGACCGCGTAGAAGGAAAAGACGAAGAACTTGGGTCGCTTGATGAGGTAGTTCACCTAGTCGCGGTCAGCCGTGTATCAGTGGCAGGCTTGCAGTTCTGCACTCACGTAGTTCATGTCTCCACCATTGCGTACAACCGGCACTCTTTCGTCATCAATTGAATGGCGAGGTGTAGTCAAGCCGAACTCGATGTACAATATAGAACCCGCGATGGCTGCAAGCCCACCGAAAGCCCAAAAGCAAAGCGTGATTCCCGGGCTCTCGGTGGCCTGCATAACGGTCCATGGTGTTCGGAATATGCCAGTACCGATGACTTGCTGGAGTATGAAGGCCACTACTGAGAAGAGACCTAGAGGATTCGGCGTGCTTTTCGTAGCGACAACATCTTTGTCGTTCAAAGCCTCGAGGTATGCGCGGTCTTCTTCGTCTAAGCACAGGCTGCGGTCTCCCGATTGGACGCTACATGATTCGTCCATCGTTCGGTAATGAGCATCGGTTTGGAGCTGGTGAAGCTTAGGAATCCGGTTGGATAAGTAGTACCTAGCTACAGTAGTAGCTGTCCAGCAAGAAGCCGGTAATGGTATCTGAATGATTTATCCCTTGAGTTTCATGCATTAGTTATCACCCGGGAGGAGAGCTAGTTTTTGAAGCCCTTGCTGGTAGCTTTACTCTTTCCGTCGATTGTTAGAGCCTTCGCACCGCGGAGCTGCGACTCCTTACTTAACGATACTTGCCATGTGAACAGCAGCCACTAACACAAGGTCGCTTCGAAATTCGATAGACAGCCACTTTGCGTAGGAGGCAAGGCTAAATCCGAAAGTGAACAAAGCATCGCTTGCCACAGTCGAGTAGATGCAGGGGATGTCTGAGGAAGGGATGCGCGTGTGCCAGATAACGACAGACAGCTCCTGAGGTATCGTTGTCGGTCCCTAAGCCTGCATCTTCTCAAAGCATTGCAACCATCGGTAACGTGCCGTGGGATTTCGGTGTACTCAGCTTCATTTGCGGCGCCATCAAATTATCGTGGATCATATACGAGAAGGGGTTTACGAAGGAGAAGTCGCTGCGTTCGTCCTCCCAGCCACCGCACCGCGTTTTCGCGCTAACCGTATTGTCTTAGCGCAACGGTATCTCGAGTTTGGCGACGCGTTGTTCCGGCTGCACTGGAGTCTCAACACCATCGAATCCATCGTCAGAACCGCGAACACCGGCTTAGAAAACGGAAGGCTCGAGAGCTATGGTTTTGAGTTATATGATACCACAGCTCTGACCGATATCGTGGGTAACTTCCGCTTGACGCTGGAACAAAGTCAGAAGTTGCTCAATGACGTCAGCAAATTTCGTACTGGCAAAGACGGCTTCATCACCAACATCATCTACAACCTGAACTCGGATGCGCAGGTCAGAGATTTGACTGAGCGGCTGAAATTCCACACCGTCAAGATTGGTCTCGTTCTCGACGCGTTCAACATTCATGTCCAAACACAGCTGCGGGATCTCCACAATGAACAACACCAAGACCTTGCGGAGCGAATTCAGGAGCTGAAGCACCTATTTGTTGCTAGTCGCGATTCACGCACCGACGCGTATCATCCGGTGATCAAGCGAGATATAGAAGTCCCTGTCGAGCTTGCCAAGCGCTCCGCGGCGGAGTTACAGCAACGTTCTTTATTGTATACGTTTGACTGGGAGAAAACATCTGACGGGCCGCAAGTATCAGTCAGAGAAGGCCTAGAAGCCTTTTGCAACCATTTCAATGGCGCTCATCCTGATGGAGATGCGACATCATATCTTCGCCTTCTCAAAAGCATATGGCTAATGGACAAGATTAAGGAAGGACACGATTGGTCAAGTATTCAAAGCTCAAATCCAGGCGGTCTCTATGATAGGTGCATCAGGGAAATGGATCGACGACTTCGCATAGAGTGCGCTCGAATCGCCAGCAGTCCAATCGCGCGCCCCCGACTATCTACCATCATGCGGTCTCGCGAGGAAATGCTTGCTATCTGGCCGAGACCTATCCCCATTAACGATAACGTGCACGAAACGAATCTTGGGGTTCTTCTAGACATCTCGCTTGTCTCCGGTACGCAGACACATACCTTTCGCGTAGTGCGTAACATGGATGGGACGTTGGGAGTGGAAGATACCACTACGAATACAACACCATGCACTGGTGGCAGTTCCAGGGACAGAGTAACACAAAAACTCAACCTTGACCCAAGGACGGTTTTCCTAGTCCCTGTGTATGCAATACCGAAAGTTCCAGGCTCGCAAGATGCTTCTTGTAGCGTAAAGCTGCAGAGCTCGCCTGATGATACAAATGGCCTGACTCCAGAGTTTCGCTCATGTACCGACTTGTTCAGGTTGCAACACCTCATTACGGGCTACAGATGCGTACATCAAAGGTGGGTAGCTATTAGCCTACCAAACTTGTCGCGCAAGCAGCACTTAAACTCTATGCCTGCACAAGACTGACACGTTTGAAGGAGAACTGTGATAGTCACATCCCTCGTGAAAGGGCAGGGCTTCCCAACGAACAGTGGCGCATCCGAAGGTAGACCAAGCAAGACCACCGACGTACTGACTGAGATCGGGAACATACAGTTGTGGCAAAAAGCTTCTTTCGAAAAGAGACCTGCGTCCCAGCACCAACACAGCAAGTCGTCAGAGGACCTGTTCAATTCTCCAGAAACTGTATCGGGTGCATGGAGTCCTGAGCCACTCAGCGAACGGACTTTCACCTCGACGTCCAGTATCATGAGCAACATCTCCAGCGCTCACTCACAAGAGATATCACTGGGCTCTGCAGTCAGGGCAGTGCATTTAACATAACCAGAGCTGCCATTACTTGTGGTATTTCTCAAACAGCCAGATACAGGGCAGTTATCCTTTCTAGCCATTGAGCTCGACGAGCGTACGAAGATCGAGCCAAAAAGCTGCGACTGCCGAAGCACCAAAGCCAGCTGTACAGTCAGTGTGCTAGAGCGATCTGGTACACCACTGCTAACTCGTCGATTTTATGCGGAGAAAGGGCTCAACAGCTGGAATCTGGCGGCTGTCGGTGCTCACTGGTCATCCTCCAATGCCGGTGCGGTGCGCGTGCGAGACATGTACTGGCTTCGGTTCGAGTTCCCGAACGACGCTGAGCGCAAGAAGTTTCATCAGAATGTTGCTGATCTCGTTCGCATCTTCTCTGCAAGGATGAACGACTACCAGAGAGACTTAAGGTCGGTTCGCGGAGCTCACATCATCTCACAAATAGGCTGAGGATGGTTGGCGTTGCTCTCACTTCCTTCATCTATCGTGTTTGTCAATCTTTAGTCTAATGTTAATAACGCTCCTTCGTCTCAATATCATGTAGTAGTAATCTGCGGTCATGTTCGCTCACTTCCGATGATCTTGCTCAGGCCTCGTACTAGTTTGAGCCAAGTAATCTTTTACAAGAGCTCAAATTCCTGGATTGTGCCTTCACTGCGCCTACAAGACTATGCAACACACAAGAGAGACACTCGAAGTTGACGTCAGTCATATAAATGTCCCAGAAGATACAACGTCCCGTGTAATGCGAACGATCTAGCGAATGCGAATTTAGACTGAGAATCGCACCTGACGCCCGGTGCTAGCGAATGCGACATGCTTGGCCTGCGCCACCGACCTCTCGCACTCGTCAACACTTCGCCAATACACTTGGCACTCTACGGTAGAGACGTGCATCATTCTTCATAAGAACGACGTGGACTTCGAAAGCAGAATTGGAGTATACATCGGCGCATACATCATTACGGTTTTCATATAGCAGCGTTTTGGTCTTCAAGAGCCAAGTTCCGCATTTTCTTCCTCACGATGACGGCGCCCTCACAGTCTGGCCAGAAACACCAACCTGATTCCATCGCAGCTAGCATCATTGCGATCACCAGCGAAGAAGCATGGAAAACTAATGCACGACGATGGAAGTTTCTTCTACTGTTATTACCAGGCTTCTATACCGCGAGTATAGATCTGACTATTGTCGCGACAGCTCAACCGTTCATCGCGTCTCATTTCCGTCAGTACTCCTGCCAACCCCTGCCAGTATGTATGCTCACCACCGAGCAGAAGCTTTGAACCAGACAAGCTGGATTGGTACAGCCTTCACCCTCACAGACACCGCGTTCGTCCCCTTGTTCGGCCAACTAGCAGATGTCTTCGGGCGGCACGCAGCTCTGCAATCTGCCGTTACTATCATGACCCTGGGCGCCGTCCTTTGCGCAAGTGCACAAGTTTGGCCAGTCTTGGTGCTAGGTCGAGCGCTCCAGGGCGTGGGGACGGCAGGCATGTCTACATGCTCCCTCATCATTCTAGCGGACAATGTGTCTCTGAAGGAGCAAGCGTTTAATACCAGTATCTTTCACTTCTTGATCGGCATCGCATACGCAACAGGGCCTTTGGTATGACTCTCAGCAGCTGAGTTTATCGTCACTAACAGGATCTGCAGATCGGAGGCTACATGACGAATGTGCATTGGCGATATGTCTTTGTGCTCTTATCCGCCTTGAGCGCAATAAGCATCATCACTATTGTGTTCCTGCGACCTGATCTGAAGAAGGGGAGGTACTCAGTGGCTCATCCACAGTCGGGTCAGACTTCTCTTAGGTCTTTCCTTGATGGATGCGCATGCATCGACCTGATCGGCGTGGGAACGTTCGTCGTTGGAGTGGCACTGATTATCCTGGCGACCAGTTGGGGTGGCTCGGCTTATGCCTGGACATCACCAGCCGTCCTAACACCGCTTATCACCGGCCCGTTCTTGCTGGTAGTGTTCGTGGTGTACCAACGATACATGGCGCCGGGCCGACATCTCGCGCAACGGCTTCCACGGATCATGCCCGTGGTGCCATACCAACTCTTTCACGAGAAGGATGTGACCCTAGTCTGTATCATCTCCGCAGCAACAGGTGCAGCTCTCTACGCCTGCTTCTACTTCGCCGGCATCTACTTCACGCTCGTTGAAGGTTTCGACGCTGGAAAAGCTGGGCTTCAGCTCCTGTTCTACGTTCCCGGGATCGGTATCGGCGTATACACTGCCATCATCATGTGCAACGTATATCCTAGGCAGACCATCTGGCCCCTACTGATCGGCACAATCGTAGAAACAGGTAGCATTGGAGCACTCTCTTGGGCTATACGCGCTCGCCAGAGGACCGCTGTCAACGTGCTCATGGGCGTCGCCGGGTTCGGTACTGGGATCCGCTTTATGCCAGAGAACCTGCACCTGACAGGAATGTACCGAGACAAGATCGCCGTCATTCTTGGCCTTTTGAGCTTCGCTGGTCCTTTCGGTGGAACCATAACTTTGACGGTGATGGGCTCGGTCTTCCAGAACAAGATGTCGGCCTACTTCATCGGTAGCGAAGAAGGGTCATCTAGATTCGACGTCAACTCGCCCACCGCATTGAATGCTATTAGCGACGTTTCGTTGGAAGATCTGGAGCGC